GCAGCACCACACAAGCCACCACGCACCACGCACCGATCAGCACCAATGCACTGGGAAAAAATCGGATTTAAATATATTTAGAAATATCTTGGAATGATAAAATTTTCTTTTTTTGTACAACCTTTTTGTGTAAGCAGGACAAAAAGTTTTTTATGCATCTGATAACTTTCGATTAAGTTGAAAGATCTTAGAAGTCGTTTACAATACGATAATAAATAAGATAAGATAAACTTTAGAATGAAGCAATATATCACTTATGTGACTATTTTCACCATTCGCGATTCAATTGTCCTAAAGAATTCGCGGATTATTTGATCGTACTCTATTCGCGAAGAAAACCAATAATATTGCTTGTATCAAGATAAATTTTTAAATGCAAGATGGAACTTTGTTTCCTTGTGCTCTAAATATTTTGCTTGTACATTTTCTGAGTATTTTTCTGCCTGTGGAAGCCCATGCCGCAGCGATCATCATCATCCCAACCCAAGTCTGTTTCTGTTTCTGTATCGGTGGCAGCCGCAGCAGCTTTTCCTTGGCATGCAGTTGTCGCCATCGCAGAGTCGTCGTCGCCTTGTCGCACATTTTCCGCGTGGTTGTCGTGGCTCGTCCCCAGAAGAAAAACCCCAGGCCAAGTTAAAGCCAGGGAAAAACAACTGGAAACCATTTCAAAAACCCCCCTCCTCCACCAAACTATCGCTCACCCACTCTCACCCCGTTGGCGCTGTCTCTTTCTCATGTGCGTTTTTGGTTACGGGCTTAATTTACAATTAATGAAATTCGATCGTTTTATTAACTGTACATTTTGCATGATTTATGCCCCCAACTCTTCGAGTAATGAAACAGTTTTTGACAATTTTCCACTGCGTTTTGGTAATTTCACGTTTTCATGCCGTCCCATGCTGCCGTCCATTAACCTTCATTAGGCTTAGGGGCCTATTAACACCCCCGCCCATCTCGACCGAGCTCCCAGCCAAACTGTTATTGCTTTTGTCCATTTATGGCTGGATTGCATTGCCGGCGTTGACAATTTCCATCGACGATTGCACAATTAAACTCTATTTATTTATTTGTTTCGCTTAATGAACTGTGTGAAACATTTACGATGTCTCAAATATTATGCCCAGGCCGAAACAATTGCAGCACCACACCCCCAACCACAATGCATGTACACTTGAAGAAAAGGGGAGACTGGAATTTAAATGAATAATTTATAATAAGGATTAAAAAGTCATTGCAGCTTGGTATACTTTTCCAATTAATATAACTAACGAATGTAAGTGACTCTCTCTAAAAATCCTTTAAAAAAATTGATAATATTAATATTATTTTGTAGCCGTGTGGCATAACAACAAAAGCTACCACGCAACTTGTCTCAGTTTTCCGATTTTGTTGTTGTTTTGGTTTCCTTTATTTTTTTGCTGGCCAAGCTGCTCGCTCATTTTTGTGCAGCGCAAATTGTTATTGCACAATTTTCGGTTTTGGGGGAATTCAATGCAATAGCCACAAACTGGCAGACAGACAGCGCACACAAGAAACACACAAAAAATACGAAACACACACAAAATGCGCCTAATTGTCGCTCTTTCAGCTGTCGCACATAACACTTTGTTTTTGCTAATTTTCTGTCACCTGTATCGTTTTTTAAATGCATTTTTTCCTCGGCCCCCAATTCAGACAATAGAGCGCTGGCTTACAAAAAAAGATAACTAAAGAAGATGGCTAAGAGAGCACGTGACTGATGATTTTTTGATGGGGGAAAAGAATAAGAATCGGGATCATCTTTGTCTTCGTGTGACTCACTTGACACAGTTGCAGTTCCCCAGTTTGTTGCCCTTTGTTTTCGGCTACCGGGAATTATCATCTCCGAAAGACCGACGATCTGAACATCTCTGCTTTCCTTCTGACACCGAGCAACCGTTAAAATTGCATGCCTCGACGTTGGCCATTATCAAACTAAGGCATCAATCTGCCAGAACCAGAGCCGCACAATTGCAAATTGCCATGGCAATTACGACTCGAAACGGGGTGGATGAGGGGCTAAAAATGGAGCAGTCGGCTGGGAACACGTTTTAGTTTAGAAGATAGCCCCGGCTAGAAGATCTCTACTTGGCCAGCTGGGCGATTATGCAATTTACAAGATCTGGCAGCGGCAGCAGTTGCATCTCCAGAACGCATTCGAGCGCACCAATTGCTAAGGCGGCTAAATCATTTTTAATACCCAAATTCAAAACGAAATAATCATAAATAACTGGGTTAATTTGTAACGCCTCCCTGCACGGCCAATGAACCATTCAGCCCGATTAGAGCTATGCGGCTCGCCCAAAAGCTGAATGAAAATGAAATTCAATTAACGCTGTCATATCAAAGAAAGTCGGATAGAACTAGCTATGGGATTTTATGTACAGTGAGGCGTAAGTAATCTGGAGTTTTGGTGAAGTAATTGGGATTTAAGAGTATTGGAATAGAACAGCTAATTCCAAAAAATCTAAAATGTAACCTTTAGTCCTTCAGTTTCTGTGATCCTAAGTATTATTTATTTAAAAATCTGTTCTAAGCCCCAAAGTTTCCACCACTAGGGAGGTCCGACTGTACATATATGCCTTGGAATATTTTAGTGGCATCTAGTCAGCGGCTGTCAAGTTCAAAGTTATAAATGTGCCAGGGATCGTGCGGAGTTTATTTAATTTCCATGATTTCGTTGTGCTCGCTGGCAGCATACGAAATCAGTTCACAAATCTTTTGTGGGTCTCTTTTATTTTTCGGTCGATCTGGGCTTTTTGTTTCACCCAATCGTATTCGTATTCGTATTTCCCGTCGCTGCATTTGAAAGTCGCAATCGAAATCGGAGAATTATTCTGTCATTGGGTGGCGCGCAGAGCCCGGGGATCAATTACCTTTCAAAACCAATTTGCATTTGAAATGCATAACGAAATCGTGTGCACACAATGCAATATTTTGGCAGTCGCACGCTGGGCTCGCGGAGTCGGCAGTTGTTCATTGTTTGCCAGCTGATTGGCAGGCTTTCAAATTGCGAATCAAGCGGCATCAAATGGAAAATGAAAATGGAAAATGCAGGTGGCTCGGTGGTTCGGTGGCACCCACACAGCCTTATCTCCCTTTTGGCAGTTGCTCATTATTGCAACAGTTGCAAGTCGGCTTCGGTTTTTATATACCCCTGCCTGCCTATATATATTTTTTTTGTTTTTATTTTTTCCATTTTTATGGCCAAAGGTGTGTCAGTAGTTGCAACTGCCATTTGCTGTTCGATCAATAGGCTCTGGGCACGCAAGCTCTCTTGAGCTAAACTCGCGATCATCTCTTGGCAAAATATGGGTTAATTCGGCGCCCGTTTTGTGTTATTTTCATTGCTGATGAACTCGGTAACTCTTACTTTTGATTAGGCCATGAGTCTGCAGATCTGCGGGATTAATTCTTGAAAAGTAAATCTGGCGATGATTTGTCAACTCTTCGAGTGGCTTGCTTTCTTTCACATCGCTCGTTTTTTGTGGGTTAGAAAAACACAGCAGCCTCGAGAGAGGCGGCTTTCATTTTCAGATGCGCGATATTGTGTAACATTTCCCCAATGTATCTTTTTTTATCTTTTCTTATTGCATATTGCATTGCATTCTGTCATGCAACTTGGCAGAGCAAAGCCAACAGTCGTAAATTATGACGGCCTGTCTATAATTAATCAAAGCACTAGGGCCGCCGTCTACTGGGGCAGTTAGTCTCAATTAACACACGCAAATTGGCCAGAGTCAAAAGCTGGGCTAAATATGCCAGGCATTTGAAAGTAAAAACAGCTCCGCACCTACCGGAATTTGTTATACATTTAGTATGCGATTCGAGATGCATTGTTCGCACTGAGCACTAGCCACCAGCTCAGCTCAGCTCAGCTCTCGGCCTTTTGTGTCGCTCAACCAGTTTAGAAATTCTACTGGTTTGAGTGACGACCATGGCGAAACCTGATGTGCCACATCGGGCGATTTGTATTCCAAATGACGTCTGGTTCCGTTCCGTTGGCCAGGAGGCTACGTATGTCAGCTGATTGAATTGCAAAGGCAGGCAGGATGGTAAAATGGAAAAACGAAAACGAAGATGCCTCGCACGGGGTTTGTTGTTTGGAAAATTGTGCAAGCTGTTCTGCAAGTTATATGAGACATTTTGCAATCAACGTCACTCGTCTTGGCCTTGTACTTCCTGAACATATTTGGCCAGTTCTTCAGCCCGGCACACAGAGAAAAAACCCTGGATATCAGTACTTTTTAATTGCTTAAAATGTTTTTTATTACGTTTAAAATTTACCCATTCGAATAGTTAAAAAACAAAATCATAAAAATAGAAAGAGTGGGGAAAATGTAAAAGTGATCTTTGGAACTGTTGCAATAAGAACATTTTAGAAACTGTATTTTATGACAAGTGTAAAAATTTTTCGTCACAAATGTTGATATCAGACCTTTTGTATGTTAAAGGTGCGATCGTCACTAGTTTCTTACCTCGTTAAGAGGTGTTTTTGTTTGATAAAGCAGACACAACGGCCATGGCTTAGAATAAATCTTAGAACTATCTCTTGATGGTCTTTGGGATCATTGTAAATAACATAGTATCTTATTTGTTTCCTGTGCATCTTCATCTCGGCACCCGCTAATTTATGCCGCATTGCATTATCGATTTGCGTTTGGTTTATGGCCCAGACTTGAGTTGAGTTTGCTTTTTTTGTTAATTTAGTGTCCAGCTGGGCAAACGAAACTGGCCTAGCCACCTTTGAAAAACTACCTGCTTTCGGCTGCTCAGCTGTTTGCTTAACCTGGCTTAAATTTATGCATTTAGTCGAGGCATTTATCATGCGAAAGATACAGCTCCAAATTAGCATATAGCGCGGTGCGTGCCAATATTTTCTTTGGGCTGAACAAAAGCCCAAATATCGAAACGAAACGATTGCCTTGATTAGTTGACAAATAAACTAACCTTATTTTTTCCTTTTGGCTTTCTCTTTGCAGTTTGGAGTCTCCGGGACATTTTGCATGAAAATTGCAGCCAAAAAGGTATGTAACAAATTTCTTAATTAACTCAAAAGCAAAACTTTCGCAGCGGCGAGCAAATATGCCAATTAAGTCAATAAATATTTGCCAGCTGCTATTTACGTTTTGACACCGACCAGCAATAAAGATTTCCAAAAATGCTTTTACATTTTACAAATGGCAGACGAACAGGCTTTTGAGCCGCACAGAAATCATTTATGTTAATCAACACATGTTTTTTTTTGGAGTCATTGGGGAATTCTTTTTTGTTGTTGTGTCTCCGGCTTGGCTTTTTCTATATATATATATATTATAAAAGGCCCACAAAACCGAAACAAAATAAATATATACAGAAAACGTGTTTGTGAGTGTCGCACAAAAACAAAATTCAAATTCAAATTGTGCCCCGTTGAAATTTGCGCTAATGTTGCCATTTGTGTTGCTGTTGCTGCTGGGCCAGTTTGAGGTTGCTCGTGTGCTGTTGCTGCTGCTGTTGCCGATGTGATGTTGCCGTATGCCGAGTTATTTTCGGTATGCCCCACCGACTCTATATGGCCGCCCCATGCCGAACAAGATTTCTGCGCCAGCGCAAAACTCCAAAGTCAGATTTTCAGCGTTTCTTGTTTCTTGTTTCTAATTCTCATGCAAATATGTACTGCCATGTCATGTCGCTTCTGTTGCTGTTGCTCCCCAACTGTTTGCATTTCAATAAGCGCTCGCACGATTTCTGCATAATTCTCTTTCGGGCAATAAAAGATTCTCGTGAAGTGCCAGTGACTCAAATCAAAGTCAAACATTTCCAAATCGAATTCGCATTAATATATCTAAACGGGTTGCGCCAAAAAGTAGAAGGAGGAGAAACGCGAACAAATCGAACAGCGACGACATTTCCGATAACTAATACTTTGGAAAAGCCATAAAGGTAAACAAAGAGAGATAAGACGTTCGCTTTGGCCCAGGTAGAACGGAAATCGTCAGTTTGGAAAAAGGAACGAGAGTAAGTGCAGAAAAAACAGCAAAGCTGCTATAAAATATTACGCATACGCAGAGTTAGTGAGTCACAAAAGCCAGTCATTGTGCGATCCACCTCGAAAACCGCACTCAAACCCCTACTGATTTAAATTGGTTCGTCATGGAGTCTTTACTGAAATCCATCTGAGATAGCCACACTTTAAAATCGAATTGCACGAGGCTTTCTATCGAAAATTAAAATAGGAATATATTTTTTAACTTGCGGTTAAATACCTTTACACAAGCTTAAGTAGTCTATGTATTTTTATTTATTTAGGGTTTATGTTAGTGTTGTTTACAAATGAACTTATTGCCTATATAAAGCCATTTAAATAATTGCTGTATAAGCAGACATGATTAAATAATAGTTTAATACCAAACTAAAGATTCATTTAATATTAGTCAGAGACATTAAATGATTTTTATAGATTATTCTTTAACCTTTTTTCCAAGTGCACGTTGATCAACAATCAAGCTGGTTTTAACAGCCTGATTATGCCTAAATTGCAACTCAAAGGGCTTCTAAAGTGCCTGTTGTGCTGTTGTTCATCTCCTCAGCAGTTTACCATAAAGCCAATCCAAACAAGTGCCTTGATGGCCAAGATCTGCTTTAATCTTCTGATTTGTTTGGGTTATGGTTGCTCTGCTCTTCAGAATGCAGAGCTAACCAGCCCCCAGCCCCAGACCCCCGATTCATTACCGATCGCGGCAGGGATCCATATAGTGCCTAGCGTTAATTCGTGTGCGCTGCTTATGAAGTTGACATGCCGAACGAATCCGAAAGGGCCGAGCATTATTTTATGGTATCCACTTTTATCCGCGCTGGGCACCGCATAAACTCACACTTAAAATCAATAAACGTAAACTGGGCCCGCCCAACGTCAAATTGCATTCGACATGTGTAACCGATAAAACTATAAAATAGCACAAACTTATGCCCACAATAAGCATAAACAATTCCGGGCGCGAGATGAGCCCTAAAAGCGATCTGCCAAAAAGGAAAACCGAAACAGAAACCGCAGAATTATCAAGCCGGGATTCAGTTGCTCTGGCCATAGAGTATAGAGTTGTTGGTACATGCGTAAACAAGTATTTTTATGGGGCTTCCATACCACGGGGCATAAAAGGATGCCCCACGGCTGTGGACCAGGCCAGGATGATGGGACACGGCCATAAAGGCACTCAATTGCCATTTTATTACCGCAGCTATTAGGCCACAGTCAGCCGGGCCAGACAGTCAGTCAGTCAGTTGGTTGGCCAGTTGGTCTACGAGACTTTCATTAGAAGCTGCCAGCAAGGAACTCCTTGCCAGCCGGCGAATTGCTCTTCACTTTCGCGTCAGAAATTCGCCATCTGCAGTGAGGCATATTGCACCACATTTGCATCAACAACAACATCCGCTGAAATCACTGTTTGCGGTTGATTCCTTGCACTGCGAATAATAGTATGTCAGTGTCTAGAACAATCTTGGAATAATATTTGAAATATTTTTAATTACCTTCCTACACCCAAAAGAAACTTGATATGAAACGATGATCAATTCGATACTCTGTGGTGTCAATTTTAAAAGAAATTTACCATGCGGATTTATATTTTCTCTAACTTTATTCCAATCTCCAAAAGTAAGACTTTCTCGCAGTGTCGCTCAGTTTTTGCTCTCCGGCTGCCACATGCAAAGTGGCTCCCTTCAGCGACTGCAGTTCCATCCGGCGATATCTTTAATGAAATCTGCATGTTGTGCGCTTTAACAAGCATTCTGCTTGTCTACTCATGTCGCCCTCCCCCGATATCTAAGTGTCTCCATCTGCCGGGCCGAGTGCCATTGCGATCCTTTTGTGCGGGGCAACGGAACGGGGAATACGAATCCCAGATCCCGGATACCGAATAAAAGAACCCAGAGAGGAGAACAGAACTGAACAGAAGAGATTGAGCCTGTGGCTAGATCAGCAACTTAGTTGTGGGGCCGGGCAAATCTTGTTAGCGTAAATATTAACTTGTAAATATGATGATGCCCTCATGGAAATTGTACGAATTGCTGATAAATATCATTAGGTCGCAGCTCTCTTCCCTGCCTTTGTATCTGTATCTGTAGCTGTGTTTGGATTGCATTTCGCCTGGCAATTCTATTAAGATTCTTATCTAAAGTGCTTGTACAACCTATTTGTTGTATTCGGCCCGTACTCACTGAGTGCACTCGTAATTGTTTAGCAAATCAGTGGAGAGTTGAAAGCTGAAAGCATTGCCGGGCCATGATTGTTGCTATTGTTCGGCTGATTACACAGTAGTAACTGACAATTTGCCTTCGATTTTTGTTAGTTTTTTAAGCAGTTAAGCTGCCGGCTACGCCCTCATGCTTATTAAATAATGTCGAAATTGCTGTGCAACTTGGGATTGCAGTTTCAAAAAAAGTTTATCAAAAAATAAAGAAATCCCCTTATATTAAATACATTTCAAATGAAGACTATTAGTTTAAGTTTTGACTCGTTTACCCCTTTCTACTCCCGAGCCATCAGAATTCCAGGCAGACACCACACGCCTTGTGCTCGTAAATAAACTTTCAAGGGAAAAGAACAGAATAGGGCTGAATTGGACCTATGAAATTGAAGCGACTTTCCTCTAGGAAAGCGACCATTCAAAGCCGCAACAAAGACGTGACAAATATCCCAAACGAGCTACTTTAAAGCGTGGGAGTTGCATTCACTCCAAGTTCATGGGAATGAATGCAATGGAAATCAATGGCGCCAGTCTCTACACTTCTCTTCTACTCTGTTTGGTTTGTTACGGGTTGGTTTGGTTTGGTTCGGGGCCACCGTGATAAAGTCACTTAGCTACTCATATTTCAACGAAACGTGCACATCAACTTCCTACTCCCCAGCATAATCCATATGCATACACCGTTTACACCGAAAAAAAGGGTTGTAATTAAATAAAATAACAAGTAAATAAATTAGCATAAATAAAACGTTCCTAAAGTTAGGGTAAAAATAAAATTATCCAAATAATGCACATCCTAACATTAAATTAGTTCAGTTGTTCCAATGTAGTAGTTATGTAGTTCCAATACTTTGTATATCAATTCTTTATTTCTGGGATAAGAATCCCTTTAACTTAATAAATACTTATTATAGTACTAAAAGCTTTACATTCTGAAACTAATTAATACGGTATTCAGATTAGTCATTAGTCAGATTTTCCCACACTGTAGTTGCTGGCCTCCTAATCGAAATCTAGAGCCCTGTGGGGGGTGGTGGATGGGATCGAATCGGATCGGATCGAAAGGGGGACTGGGGTCGTAATTTCCAGCTCTCAACGCCGCCAGCGGGCCAGCAGAGCGACACAGTTGGACACTGTCTGCTCCAGTTTACCGAAAATCGTAGACTTCAATCGTTTTCATGGAGCGGCGCACGCTGCGTATGCGTATTATGTTCGATTTCTGGTTTGACTTGGGAGTTCAATAAACGATTAGATTCTAAGTTGTCGTCGTTGTTGGGTTATTTTTTCCTTCTTTTTTTGTTTTTGTATAGATGTTTTTGGTTGTTGCTTTCTTGGAGGCACATTGCGTGTGCGTCTGCCAAAGTTATCGCGGCTTTTTACACTAAGACGAAGGCTAATATGTCATTTGGTCATTGATACGCGGCAACCGACGTCCGATCGGGAAAGAGTGAGAAGGAGAGGCGAGAGTGAAAGAGACAGAGGGAGATAGAAGGAGAGAGAGGGGGATAGAGCGACGGTGCCACCAAAGCAAAACGCTTACTGTCAGTGTGAGGCGCGTATAATTAATTGCGCCTATCAATATCGCCGCTTGTGTTGTTTTGTCTGCTTTTTTTCTGTTGTCTGCTGTTTTCTGCGTGGCTGCACGCATATATGTGGCCAAAAGTCCGGGACTCCGGCGGTGGCTCCTCAGCTGGCCCCCATGGCCATTGGCAGCAGCTCATTGAGATAAGCCTGTCCGTTTATGCGATTTTCCGTTCGGATTTAGCATAAATCATTCGCCTGCGAAATGTTATGTCAGC